ATGAGACATCCTTCATTCAACAACAATGTGACATCCTTCATTCAACAACAATGAGACATCCTTCATTCAACAACAATGTGGCATCCTTCATTCAACAACAATGAGACATCCTTCATTCAACAACAATGTGACATCCTTCATTCAACAACAATGTGACATCCTTCATTCAACAACAATGTGACATCCTTCATTCAACAACGAGTCATCCTTCATTCAACAACAATGTGGCTTCCTTCATTCAACAACAATGTGACATCCTTCATTCAACAACAATGGACATCCTTCATTCAACAACATTGGACATCCTTCATTCAACAACAATGTGACATCCTTCATTCAACAACAATTGTGACATCCTTCATTCAACAACAATGTGAACATCCTTCATTCAACAACAATGTGGCATCCTTCATTCAACAACAATGTGACATCCTTCATTCAACAACAATGTGGCCTCCTTCATTCAACAACAATGTAACATCCTTCATTCAACAACAATGTGACATCCTCATTCAACAACAATGTGCATCTTCATTCAACAACAATGTGGCTATCCTTCATTCAACAACAATGTGGCATCCTTCATTCAACAACAATGTGACATCCTTCATTCAACAACAATGTGACATCCTCATTCAACAACAATGATGACATCCTTCATTCAACAACAATGTGCATCCTTCATTCAACAACAATGTGACATCCTTCATTCAACAACAATACATCCTTCATTAACAACAATGTGACATCCTTCATTCAACAACAATGATGACATCCTTCATTCAACAACAATGTGACATCCTTCATTCAACAACAATGAGGACATCCTTCATTCAACAACAATGTGGCTTCCTTCATTCAACAACAATGTGACATCCTTCATTCAACAACAATGTGACATCCTTCATTCAACAACATTGTGACATCCTTCATTCAACAACAATGTGACATCCTTCATTCAACAAGCAATGTGACATTCCTTCATTCAACAACAATGTGGCATCCTTCATTCAACAACAAGTGGCTTCCTTCAATTCAACAACAATGTGGCTTCCTTCATTCAACAACAATGAGACATCCTTCATTCAACAACAATGTGGCATCCTTCATTCAACAACGAGAAATCCTTCATTCAACAACAATGTGACATCCTTCATTCAACAACAATGATGACATCCTTCATTCAACAACAATGTGGCTTCCTTCATTCAACAACAATGTGGCTTCCTTCATTCAACAACAATGAGACATCCTTCATTCAACAACAATGTGACATCCTTCATTCAACAACAATGAGACATCCTTCATTCAACAACAATGTGGCATCCTTCATTCAACAACAATGATGACATCCTTCATTCAACAACAATGTGACATCCTTCATTCAACACAATGTGGCATCCTTCATTCAACAACAATGTGACATCCTTCATTAAACAACAATGTGGCTTCCTTCCATTCAACCACAATTGTGACATCCTCATTCAACAACATGTGACATCCTTCATTCAACAACAATGTGGACATCCTTATTCAACAACAATGTGACATCCTTCATTCAACAACATGTGGCAATCCTTCATTCAACAACAATGAGACATCCTTCATTCAACAACAATGTGCATCCTTCATTCAACAACAGTTGGCATCCTTCATTCAACAACAATGTGCATCCTTCATTCAACAACAATGTGGCATCCTTCATTCAACAACAATGTGACATCCTTCATTCAACAACAATGTGACATCCTTCATTCAACAACGAGAAATCCTTCATTCAACAACAATGTGCCACATTCATTCAACAACAATGTGACATCCTTCATTCAACAACAATGAGACATCCTTCATTCAACAACAATGTGGCATCCTTCATTCAACAACAATGTGACATCCTTCATTCAACAACATGTGGCATCCTTCATTCAACAACAATGTGACATCCTTCATTCAACAACAATGTGACATCCTTCATTCAACAACATGTGACATCCTTCATTCAACAACAATGCATCCTTCATTCAACAACAATGTGACATCCTTCATTCAACAACAATGTGACATCCTTCATTCAACAACAATGTGACATCCTTCATTCAACAACAATGAGACATCCTTCATTCAACAACAATGTGGCTTCCTTCATTCAACAATGTGACATCCTTCATTCAACAACAATGTGACATCCTTCATTCAACAACAATGTGACATCCTTCATTCAACAACAATGTGACATCCTTCATTCAACAACAATGTGACATCCTTCATTCAACAACAATGTGACATCCTTCATTCAACAACAATGACATCCTTCATTCAACAACAATGTGACATCCTTCATTCAACAACAATGTGACATTCTTCATTCAACAACAATGAGACATCCTTCATTCAACAACAATGTGACATCCTTCATTCAACAACAATGAGACATCCTTCATTCAACAACAATGTGACATCCTTCATTCAACAACAATGTGACATCCTTCATTCAACAACAATGTGACATCCTTCATTCAACAACAATGTGCCACATTCATTCAACAACAATGTGACATCCTTCATTCAACAACAATGAGACATCCTTCATTCAACCACAATGAGACATCCTTCATTCAACAACAATGAGACATCCTTCATTCAACAACAATGAGACATCCTTCATTCAACAACAATGTGGCTTCCTTCATTCAACAACGTGACATCCTTCATTCAACAACAATGAGACATCCTTCATTCAACAACATTGTGACATCCTTCATTCAACAACAATGTGACATACTTCATTCAACAGCAATGAGACATCCTTCATTCAACAACAATGTGGCATCCTTCATTCAACAACAATGTGGCTTCCTTCATTCAACAACAATGAGACATCCTTCATTCAACAACAATGTGACATCCTTCATTCAACAACAACGTGACATCCTTCATTCAACAACAATGTGGCATCCTTCATTCAACAGCAATGTGACATCCTTCATTCAACAACAATGTGACATCCTTCATTCAACAACAATGTGACATCCTTCATTCAACAGCAATGTGACATCCTTCATTCAACAACAATGTGACATCCTTCATTCAACAACAATGTGACATCCTTCATTCAACAACAATGTGGCATCCTTCATTCAACAGCAATGTGACATCCTTCATTCAACAACAATGTGACATCCTTCATTCAACAACAATGTGACATCCTTCATTCAACAACAATGTGACATCCTTCATTAAACAGCAATGTGACATCCTTCATTCAACAGCAATGTGACATCCTTCATTCAACAACAATGTGGCATCCTTCATTCAACAACAATGTCGCAACCTTCATTCAACAACACCAATGGTCATTCCATCAAAATCGGCCTTCTATGATCGGGACTGGACACCAATTGCTACTGATCATTTTTACTCAGCCTAGTTTTATCGTTTGCCTTTTCCAAGTGAATATTTAGTGTATTTGTGAGCTATATTTAAATTCCAGTCCAATTGTTTTGTTATATATTCAAAATGTCCTAGCAATCATCATTCCTGTATTGTATCTGTAACCTGGGTCCCTCCTGGAAACCAGACTTTTAGTCTAAACAAGTCCTTACCTATTCTTGGTTCTTTCGGTAAAGTCACGTAGAAGGGAAACAATAAAATAATAAAAATATAAAACAATTAAATTCTCACGACGTTTCGACTACAACACAAGCAATCATCATCAGGTGTGAAAACCACTGCCATTTTTTTCAAATTTTCTTGCTGTGGTTTTCACACCTGATGATAACTGCTTGTGTTGCAGTCGAAACATCGTGATAATTTTATTGTTTTATATTTTTATTATTTGATTGTGTCCCTTCTACGTGACTTTACCGAAAGAACCAAGAATATGAATCCCTGCAGTCACGAAAGCTTTAAATCAACAATTTAAGTCCTTACCTAGTTAAACAATGAAGTATGATGGCAATGACATGTTTTGATTAATGTCACTAAGTTAGTAATTCATTTTACAAGAAAAGTGTAACTCGTCTTACAGTTTTACAAACAAATTAAAGAATGCAGTGGCTACATTGAACCATTTACTTTTGCTGCCAAAGCTTACTCTGCACATCCACAGTAAAACTTGTTGTCTTTCTCTTGGCATAGTAAATGGAAGTGCAAACTTTGCAAGAATGTATGTCAACAGCCAAGAGAGGAGCTTGTACTTTGGTCCACTAGATTAAACATTGACAGCTGAAAATGCCCTTCTGCAATTAGACCTGGAGTGAATTATACTTGCAGCAACAATGTGAGCTCCAAATTCCAATTACATGTTGATTCAAATCTTTACGAACGACACACTCAAAATTGTCCGAAAGACAATTGTAAATTATATTTTCCTAACGTTGAAAAAGACAATATGAATGCTTTCCTATTTATAAATAATATCCAAGTCCCATATTCAGTTGTAAGTTTATAGTTAAATTGGGAGTTCTAATAATTGTAATAAAACTAAGGGTTCATATCACATATTGACTAGTCATGGTAAATACATAAAAGGTAACCAACAAAAGTAAGTAAAAAGATAACAGGTCTCGAACACCAAATAAATTCGATTTAAGAAACAAAAGTCGTACAGCCAAAATAGGAATCCCACTGAAGAAATCATCACAACAAAGTAGTGGCATTGTAAAATGATATGGAATACTACAGCTGCCAAGGTTACTAATGCAATGATATCAGTACTCTTTGATACAATTAATAAAATAATGACATGAATAAGGCTGCTTCAGGAGGGGCAGTTTATAGAGTTACTGCTTGTTCTCCCATGGCCTACCTTCCCCGGCCATCTGTACTGTTGACTTTCTGTCTCTGTTAAAGCCCAAGCTCAAGACAATTTGCCCTGCCTATGACGATGACTGACCATCTCTTTTCTCAAGAGAAAAAATAAAAAATGGGATCTTGAGCTCGCGGTCCCATGAAGACACAATACAAATCCACATTGTTTGTATCGCACGATGTGAACGTACATCTGCATTGAACCGTTCGATCTCCTGGATCAGGTTGGGGAAGCGGTAGGCCCATTCCAGCACGCTGCGGTTACAGTGGCGGTACAGGTAGGCATTGTCCTCCAGCAATGTCTGCGACAGGATGTTGTAGGTCATCACACTGAAGGCCATCTGGTTGCGGAGGCCCAACACGTCCGCATTGCTGCTCCTGTCCTCCATACCTTTCCACCACCGGCAGTGACTCCCTGTGAGAACACGGGGACAAGGGCTATCAATACACTCGTGGCCGTTACCAGCAACGATTCTACGTGTAGTGTTGGTGCAACACTGCATTTACTTGCTCATGCTGCTGCTAGTGGAAGGGCCTCAAGTGGAGGGATATTTAGAGATAATGACGCTGTCCAGTCTTGTAAGAGGTGGGAGTACCCACATTTTACTCCATCACACACGTCCTGCTACTTGACCATGGTGTACCTATTTATGGGTAGACAGTGGCGGGTGGGAGGGTGTTAATAAAGGTGCCCATTGTTTCAACTGCCATCCCGGGAAACTGAATCACACTGATGACCACTGGATTGCAAACGCAGTGTTCTTACCATTCCATCGTGGCAACACCCCAACACAAACATTTGGTGGAAAATGGCCAAATTTTCAAAACATTTAGAAGTTTTGTGCATTTTAACAATAAGAAAATTGCTTTTCTGCCAACATATGAATTGGACTCAAATAGTTTTTCTGTTATGTACACAATAAAACATGTTTTTATCAAATGTCATGATTTTGAAGTTTGCGTCATGGAATGGCAATCTTGAACAACATTCATGTATCATATTAAATTGTACAAAGTATTGTATGATCATAATCAAATAGGACATGGTAATAAAACATGCATAGATTTTACTCAAGCAATTGTTGAATGAGGGCCCCCCGCATGACATGGATCATATCGATTATTTGACCATACTTCACCACCTTGGTCAGCGCTAGTTGGTGAAGACAGAAGGAGCATAGACTGGCAGCATATAATCGCAGTACAACAATGAATTCTGCTGTACTGCCCTCTACTGACCACCACATGGCAGTGCCAAGCAGTGTGTCTGGTGGGCATCGATCCAAGCATTATTAAGGACCTTAATAACTTGACTTCAGAGAAAAAACTAATGATAAAACATTTTGTATTCTGCGAATATACAAAATGAGAATCGGTGGTCTTGACAGTCTGTTCATAATGGAATCGGCGCTGGTGTAAGGTAAGCACACTTACACTTCCTGTACATGTTGCCCGGTGTGGGGCGGACTTGAGCATCAACTTTTCTCCGTTCTTCACGAGGGGCATCACTGTCCTTGGGGACGCTGTTGCTGCCCGTGCCAGCGCTGTCCACTGACAAGCGACTCCGCTTGGGCGAGCTGCCCTCTCTTTTTTGCATGTGGACGCTTGTGGTGGACAAGAAGGACGAAGGAACCTTATCCCACGACACCAATGGCCGGTGGAGATCTTTATCTCTCCAGTGTGGGCAATATGTCCGTAAACGCACACCTGGCCATTTCAGGTGGCGGACAGTACAAATGTTTGAAGATTTTAACAAATGTGCCTGGTTTTTTTTCGAGGTTTTATCACACTGAAGCAAGATGGCTTTCCCACGTGCATAGCAAAAGGCGCGGTGTTGATATCCCAGCATTCGTCACCTGAAATGGCAAAGGTAGTCAAATTAAAGGTGCAGCCTTGCAATTGCTTGATCATGCCACTGCTATCAGAAGGGCCCCCACTAGAGAGAACAATTGAGGTAAGCAGGTTCAAATACAGTAAATCAGCATTACTAGCACCAACATTGATGTGGAAGTTTGTTGCAAAAAGAATCCCTTCCACTTGGCACATCTCACATGGACAGTTCCAGCTGCAAGTAAGATGGGTGATACAACACCATCACTCTGGTATTGTAACCGGTATTGATCAATACCAGTTACATCCAGTGTACCTATTTTTGACACATTACATGATCTATTATCTGTGCAAAAATGTTCAGTGTGCATATTTTGAAACTGTTTCTGCACATTTTCACAGGGTAATCAGCAACAGCATCAGCGGTGACTGGGGTCAAACCGGCACAGCTCAGAGATGACAGTACAGAGAGGGAGCATATGAAGCCATATGCACGGAACTGTGTTATATTTCTCCGGGCATCCCTGTTTCCTCCCATATAAGGAACACGTATTGAAGGGTATTTGGACTCAATGAGGCTAACAGGAATTATGGCTATGAGAAGTTCCACTCCAGCAGCAATCACACCTGGCATCTATTTATCAATGAATTACAATATCTATACAATTGTAGCATCAACTAAACAATGCTGCAACACTTGTAAATCTAACTGACCCCAGGTCTACCAGCTATGTTTTTGTCTGCATTTTCAACACAAATTTAAGAAATACAACGCTATATGCTCAATGTGGATGTCATAACGTATATCTATATAACACATTACATCGGAGAGGAAACACTCTTGACCACAATACAAATTGTGTGACACAGAGAGTTTCTGCTTTACCATTACCACCTCAGTCTGATGCCGAGTGCAGTATTTTGTCACGAACATATATACTTTGCTGGAAACGTTAACTGTCAAAACAAAACCATCCTTTAGCTTTGCTATCTGACATGTCTATAAATCTTGGCCTCTGGATTAGCATGCCAAGTATCGGGGGTTGTTTTCAGTCAAATACTCTGTACACGTGTTTATCATTCAATAGCTATGAATAATTCACAAAAAACAACTCAGCACACTAGTCAACAATTCCCTAAACATATACATATTCGGTTAAGTTTCAGGTAAAGGCACTTCTCAATAGCACACAAAACAGCTATGTACATATTCCTGGTTCTTTCGGTAAAGTCACGTAGAAGGGAAACAATAAAATAATAACAAGATAAATATATTTTATTGTTTTATATATTTTTTTATTTAATCGTTTCCCTTCTACGTGACTTTACCGAAAGAACCAAGAATATGAATCCCTGCAGTCACGAAAGCTTTAAATTAAAAGCTATGTACGTAATTAACATTTTATATAGGGTTGTATTTACTAATACGTGAATACGTCACGATGACATTGAAGACAAAAGGCCAACAATATTAATGACGCCTCTGAACACAAAATGTTACCAACGCTGAAGCTGGCACATACGCATTGCTGTGTAGCTTACAGCTCACAGGACAATACAGTAACATCGTGTACAACCCGTGTGACATTCAGAACGTGGTGTCCGGTATCTCGACTCGGAGCAACACACCACGATTCACGTATCATGTTCACAGCACCTCGGGTCACTTGCAAACACGATTGGCTCTCTCTAAGCTTAATATACAAAACAGTTAAACTCGCGAACACACCGGGCGACTGTCACGTTACCTAACAGCTGACGCTTGCTCCTGCAATGATTTGCCCTATGGTCCGTACAGCACAGGAGTGTGTGCACGCTACATATGTGCACAGGATATGATGTCTGCGTGCGTCATGCGGGAGTGAGTCAGTCTGTGCCAAATACGTGTGCAATGCGTGTACATTATCTTCTATCAATCCACTGCTGGTCAACGTGGGTTGTTGGTCTTATGAGTGATGGTTGCTCATCCAAACACGATGCAGTCTCGAACTGCTTTGCTTCCGAGGTCTGACGATATCAGACGCATTCCTCGTGATTTAATTGAACATGTCATGTCGTAGTACGCGTATCGTTATTTACATACTGTAAATGTTCGTGCACAGTGTGGTGTTAATACAGGATTTGCAACGTACAATTGCACAAATAGCAACGCTTTATCGAGTAACGTGTATACCTACAGGTTAAGCCGTTACGTCTGCGTGTTGATGTGTAATATAGTACATACACTGTCAATGTGACTGTACTACAATGTACAAAGTATGCCACTGTGCTGTTTACACGTGTCATTGTGGAACATGTGGAACGACAGCATAATGTTCCTACATAATGTTCTGCTGCCCGACTTAGTCAACTTGCAGTGACCAGCGTGCTGAAGTATGGCCAAACAGCCTCCACAACCCGCACGGCCTATGGAGGCCCTCATCCAGCAGTGCATTGACAAAAGGGCTGTTACGTGTAACAATCGTACGCAGTTCAATTACAATGCACCACGGAACTTGCACGATGAATAACGGGATATATGTATAGCAACATCGGGGTTTGTTTTTACACCCAGAGGAAAGATATCGACGTTTTTCTTAACGGACACAACACCGATATATACCATGTCATATAACTTGTCATGTTATATAACATGTCATGTTATGGCATGGTATATAACATGACGTTATATGTCATGTTATATAACATGTCACGTTATATAATGTCATGTTATATAACATGACATGTTATTATGAATGTCATGTTATACATGTCATGTTATATACCATGTCATGTTATATAACGTGTGGCGTACGATTGTCGCAGGCGTACAGTATACAATGTAATTGTCAATCCACTGCTGGATGATGGCCCCTTCCCTGACCATACTTCAGTGCGCGTTGGTGACGACAGAGAGCACATGCGGTGGAAATTCAAGTTCACACCTCCGATTAGCACGGTGGTTGGCTACGTACGGTGCGAAAGAAGTTCAACATGCATATTCATGATGGTTCACGTCTCATCATCATCATCATTGAACACTGACACCGCGCCTCCCAGGCGGCACACGTCGAGGCGTATATAATAAACACGCGAACGCGTATTATACACGTGCGGCACGAATGTGTGTTTAGGTTGGAGTGTGTGCGAGTGTGTTTAGGTTGGAGTGGTGCGAGTGTGTTTAGGTTGGAGTGGTGCGAGTGTGTTTAGGTTGGAGTGTGTGCGAGTGTGTTTGGGTTGGAGTGTGTGCGAGTGTGTTCATGTTGGAGTGTGTACGAGTGTGTTCATTTTGGAGTGTGTGCGAGTGTGTTCAGGTTGGAGTGTGTGCGAGTGTGTTTAGGTTGGAGTGTGTGCAAGTGTGTTTAGGTTGGAGTGTGTGCGAGTGTATTTAGGTTGGAGTGTGTGCGAGTGTGTTTAGGTTGGAGTGTGTGCGAGTGTGTTTAGGTTGGAGTGTGTGTGAGTGTGTTTAGGTTGGAGTGTGTGTGAGTGTGTTCAGGTTTGAGTGTGTGCGAGTGTGTTTAGGTTGGAGTGTGTACGAGTGTGTTTAGGTTTGAGTGTGTGTGAGTGTGTTTAGGTTGGAGTGTGTGTGAGTGTTTAGGTTGGAGTGTGTGCGAGTGTGTTTAAGTTGGAGTGTGTGTGTGTTTAGGTTGGAGTGTGTGCGAGTGTGTTTAGGTTGGAGTGTGTTTAGGTTGGAGTGTGTGTGAGTGTGTTTAGGTTGGAGCGTGTGTGTTTAGGTTGGAGTGTGTGTGAGTGTGTTTAGGTTTGAGTGTGTGTGAGTGTGTTTAGGTTGGAGTGTGTGTGAGTGTGTTTAGGTTGGAGTGTGTGCGAGTGTGTTTAGGTTGGAGTGTGTTTAGGTTGCAGTGTGTGTGAGTGTGTTTAAGTTGGAGCGTGTGCGAGTGTGTTTAGGTTGGAGTGTGTGCGAGTGTGTTTAGGTTGGAGTGTGTGCGAGTGTGTCACACCGCACACAGTCTACTCACACAGCTGAGCCTGGCCACCGAAATCGCCCCACACCGTTACCGTGAAAGTGTTCGCCTCCTTAGGACGCCCAGCATCGCAGCGATAACAAAACACAGCGAGTCAACAACACCTTCAGCAACACACTACGCTGGGCATAACAACAAACAACTAATCGTGATGGTGTAAACAAAACAAATGACAGGGCTGAAGGACACGACGAACAGCTGCTGCTGCTGCCTTGCGTGTTTAGGGAGCCTCTGGGCATGCCGGGCGGCCCCCTTGCGTCCACTCACTCGCCTGTCCACCACCGTCATCCTCGCCGCTACGGCGCGTCATGATTGTGACTTATTCTTCGTTAATGTCGGGTTATTTAACTTATTATCAATAACATGTTGTTATAGTACAACCGTTATAGATACCGATCATTACTATAAAAAATGTTTTAACCAAGATTAACAATTAAACATGTATAGCAGTTACTATTATCACATTAATATGATTGTAAAGGTGATCAATATCTTGTATTGCTATTACTTTCACGATGATCTTCATGAATCATGACGGCTATTGTCCATCATGACCGCGACCGCACTGTACACTACTGTACTCTACTGTACTGGCAATGTGGTTACCACTTCCCCGGTAATCATCACTGCTGCTGTTCTATTAATAGATTATTGAATCTGCTGCAGCTCAGTGAGACGTCCACACATTCACGACGCGTACAGAATGTAATTAAAGTAGCTAATTAAAGTAGCTAATTCACTCGGACGTGTGTCACGGCTTTCGGTTCGGCGAGGCCTACAGCCACGCGAATCACTCACATGGCGCTGCCCGGCTCGTTACGTTCAACGAGTCGTTCCATCTTTTACCCCGCGTTTTTTTTTCGTGGAAGAACAAGGCGACCGTCGTGTCTGCTTGTGTTGTGTAAATATGATTGTTTATTTGTGGGGAGTGTTTTTTTTTGTATTTTGGTTTAATAATTTAATTTGAACGTAAAATGTCGAGGCGTTGCGTTGTTTCCCCGTGTAGGCGGAGTGGGTGCTGCGCGGACCGAGTTCCTCCACGGAAACGGGAAACACCACGCCGCGAAACTTCGTTCCGGATGAGGCAATTCATCATCGGATTTTAATTAGAGGAGAGTTCCTGCGTAATAACGTGCACGGTTATTTTGATCAATTAACGAATCGTTGCCCTCGGGCATGCAAAAGTCTTCTCTGAAGCTATTGCTAATATTCTTTGCTGCGAAGTATTTTATGTACATGACAGTTGTGCAATAGAACAGACTTGGAATGGTTTTGTGATATTGGCTTTCATCAGCAAGTCATAGCCAGTTCTACAATTGTCAGACAAATGATTATGACCGGCATGAAAAACAACACCATCAGCGATTTCCCCCTCATCGAGACTAACAAACCAAGGGGAAATCCCACTGAGAGTTTTTTTTGTACCTTTGTGCAACTGCACATTGGACTGGTTTCGCGTTGTACTGGTAAAGAAATAAGAATGTGTAAATATGATCTCAACATGTAATGCACCTCAGAGTATTCGACCACTGCGGTGGAGACGCGAGGAGGAACCACAGATGAGCGGGAAGGCAGCCACGCCGTGAGGAGCCTGTGCCGACGATTGCCCCAGCTCTGCGTTCCTCTATATATGAAGGCGTCATCCGCCAGTTAATGACGAGAGTCCTGCTTGCGGGAGGAAACTGGAGCACACCGAGAAATCCGGCGCGTGCGAGGGGAAAACACGCTATCCCATCGCGACGGAAGAGGCGGAGGCCACATCTGTTGCTGTGCTGGCGTTCTGCACTGTTGATGGCACTCCGGCGCTGCTTCGCAACGTCCGTGTGTGATCCACCAACCCTCGCTGCAGCCTCCACCACGCGCCAGGGTTGGCGGCCACCGTCAGCCAGTTGAAGGACGAGAAGCGCCGAGTGAAAGCATTGCTCAGCATAATTAACACAGCACATACAATCAATTAAAAAACACTTGCTCGTGAGAACAAATGCAGGAGTTATTTATGCATGTTGCTGTATCCTGCATATAAAAGATACGATGTGATCAATTGCAGTTTGCTGAATAGTGCTAAACACCACAGAATGTAGCCAAGTGTGTCTAATTACTAACTTGGCAATGGGAAATGTATTTATATTTAAAGCCCGCATGGCACACACAATAATGCTACACAGATCTTTACAACAATATTGCATTGCTATTTATACATTTTACAATGCCTTCACATTTGTGACGTACGGTGCGAAAGAAGTTCAACATACTTTCCACCTATAGAACTGTAATGTTGAATGTGCTTACGAATGAGGCTCATCGATCCGTCCGTCCATCCGTGCATCATTTACAGCGATGGCAAACATCAGTGGCGAGTGACCTCCGACCCGGCTCTCAGATTGATACAAATCTGTCACAAAAAGCCGCGACCACACACACAGAGAGAGAGATCAATGTGAGGCGAGTTTCAATGGGGCCCATGCCATTGTGAGGAATTGGTGATGTTTGACTTTAAACTACAGTTCACAATGGGTGTTTCTCTGTTATGATTGGGGTTTTCTCACTATTCACACTAAAAATAAAAAGTTAGGCTTACTGTCATGCTGTATTTTTCATATATCTCGGTGAAGGTAATAATTGTGTGAAATTCCCCTTGGACCGCTCTAGTGCACCATGCTGGCTGTGGTGGATACAAGCGGTGGCGTGGAGCTGCACTACGAACCCGGCCACCACAGTTGGATTCCCGTTCACGGCCACCGGCACCAGCGGCGATTATCTGAACCGGTCCTGGGCCTCCCCTAGGTCGACTCAGCCTCAAACGAGTACCTGGTTTGCGGTGTGTAAACATCGCCACTGGGGAGACAAAGGCGGCCAGGCGGGGTTTTTCAGTTATTTATTTATTTTGGTATATCCCTGTGAGTCGGCTCTTGAATCGGGTGCAACCACAACAAACAAAAACACGAACAAGAAAACATCTTAAAGTGATTTTGTGACTGTGCAAACAGAAAACACATGAAAAAAAAAACACAAAAATATTCTTGAAAAAAGCACCGTACACCAACGCTTAAAAGACGCTGCGAATCTTAGCAGCAGTCATTGAAGCGCTGTCGTCCCGACAGTTCTGTTCCTTCACCTGAAGAAGGCTACTTGTGTTGTGGCCGAAACGTCGTGAGAATTTTATTTTGTTTTAATTGTATTATTTTATTTCTATTCTACGTGACTTTACCGAAAGAACCAAGAAGATGAATCCCTGCAGTCACGAAAGCTTTAAATCGAAATTTGCTCTATTTGATAATTATTTAAGGAATGTAATTGGGGAAAAATAACTTCCTGCTTTAGTCCTGGTGAGAAGCATAGCACCTTGGTTTTGGAGGTATTCAGGACTAGTTTAAGAGCAACTAGCTGTAGCTTAGCAATCACGTCATCCGGAGAGCGGCCAGCAGTAATCAGTATCGTGTCATCTGCAAAAAGATTTACCCTGGAATGATCCTGGTCAGTGCCCAATGCATTGACACAAAGAGAGAACAAAAGGGGGCCGAGGATGGAACCCTGTGGAACCCCTTTTGTTATCTTAACACTGTTTGACCTCCAACCATCTGTGAATACAGTTTGGGTGCGAGAAAAGAGGTAATTTTGTAACCATTTTACTGCGTTTTCGGAAAAACCGAGGCAACTTAGTTTGCTAAGCAGGGTGTTGTGGTCTACTGTATCAAAAGCTTTGGACAGGTCAAGAAAAAGACAGGCACAGTACTGCTTATTATCAAGGCTACTGTAAATGTGATTCAGAGAGTCTAATGCAGCAGATGTGGTGCTGTATTTTTTTCGGAACCCAGATTGTTTTAGAATTTAGATGTAGTAGATTGTTGGTGGACAGGAAACTGCTAATTTGGTAGGTCAATCATTTTTCAAAATTTTTCATCAATGGTGTTGGCCACCCACGTAGCGGCCTTTGATATGTGCTCGCTAACAGCACTTGACCCAATAGTATGTTACAGGCTGTACGGGGGATCTTTGTGGTGGATACGAGCACAGCAGCGTACTCTGTGATGGTCAAGTCCTACAATTTCGATTTAAAGCTTTCGTGACTGCAAGGATTCATCTTCTTTGGTTCTTTCGGTAAGGTCACGTAGAATGAGAATAAAATAATAAAATAACACAATAAAATTCTCACGACGTTTTGGCCACAACGCAAGCGGCCGTCTTCGTCACTTTAAGAAGAAGACGGCTGCTTGCGTTGTGGCCGAAACGT